TTTCAGGCATCCACTGGGGGTTTAGAAATATATCCCCTGCAGTTAAGGGAGGACTACTGTATTTTTAACAGAAGCATAGAATGGCTGAGGAACATTCTACAACATTAAACAATGCACCCTAACTCATAAATTTGTAAATGAAGGCTAGGCATAACATGCAGGAAGCATGGTGCCAATTCTTTACTGTTACGAATCTAGGTTTGCTTTATGAGATGGTGAAAATTGTGACATAAGAGATAGGAGTGTGTATGATGTGATATTAACATATCCCATCATAACATATTGTAATATGTTCTGTGTTAGTTAATCATCATTTATCATATATACTCCATTTCAATGTTTAAACATGTCATATATAATTCATTGTTCATCTCTAAATTTAAGTATTACTTTAAGAATTTTATTTTCAACAGTGGTTGCTACTACCTCAGCAGAGCAAAGTTTCTCCAAATTCAAATTCAAAAAAGAAAACTAAAAAAAAAGAGGTTATCTAATTAGGAATTACTGTCAGCAGAATACAAGACTTTTCATTATAGCAACACAATTAGTAATTTTGCTGAAATCAAGGCAAGAAAAATAAATTTTATGGAATAAAGATATAATTTGTGAGTTATGCATATCTTTCTTGTCTTACTCATTCAACATTGCTGGCCTTTTAACAAATATCCATACATGTTCAATAATTAAATTCAGTCATTTTTGATATTTTGCCAATCTTCTGTGCTTAAAAAAATCAGAACGGATTTTTCAGTGTTGTTATTATGAAGGTATATTTGTAGGAGGATAGATTTCTTGTCAGCTCATTCCATGAGAAACCCTATTTCTTCCAGGTGTTCCCCTATTCTCCTTAGTCTAGATTGGATGGTTTTTGTTCCTTGTACCCAATCTAAAGGCTCTGTCCTGAAGACAGTGGTGGAAGGCGGAGATGGTGGAGATGGTGGAGGTGGAGATGCTGAAGGTGTGGTGGCCGAAGCTAGATGACAAGGATTGGGGCAAGGAAGGCAGTTGGGGCTGCCCTCACTCCCAGCTTTCCGTCAGTCCCAAGGACTTAAAGTTCCGGGGGGCTGGACAGAGCAAGCCAGGCGGAAGGGCCCTCAGGTAGTGACAGCAGACGTGCCCTACTCTGCCAGAGCACAGCAGAGGCAGGCAGTCACAAGCCCAGGCTCCTGAGTCCCCTGCTCGACCGTCTGCAAGCTGTGTGACCCTGGGTGAGTTACTTCACCTCTCTGTGCCTGTCTCCTTCCTATAAAACTGAGATAATAATAACACCCCCTTTGGGAAGGGTTTTGTAAGAAGCAAGTGAGGCGCTGAGTGTGAAGCACCTGGCTAGTGCCTAGCACGCGGGAAGCACTCGTAGTTGGTTTGGTATTCCACCACTAGGCTATATACTCTGTCAGAGCACAAATCCTACATCCTATCCACATTGTTCGCTAGCAACACGCAACTGCTCAAACAAGTGTTTCATGGAATCTTCCTCCCCTCTCCCCCGCCGCCCCCACAGTGCGTCCTGCGCAGTGGGCGCTGAGAGCCTGGCTCTGCCCAGAGGCGGCGCCCCTCCCAGGCAGGGCCCGGCTATTGTTGCTGCCGAGATTCTTTCCGAAACGGAAAGCCTTGAATTAGAGGATAACTGCCCTAATCCCTGCGGGGGGCCCGGCAGGCGCCGGTGCTGGCCCCCCCAACTCTCTTCCTTTCAAGGAATCTCAGTTCCCCCCAGCCCCTCCCTTCTCTGAGCCCCCACCTTTTCTGTAAGCCCCCTTGCGCCTTTTCTCACCCTGAACCCACCTTTTCCCATCACCACATTAAACCATCTCCTTATGAACCCCCTTCCTTCTCTGCACCCCCATCTTCCCTCTAAGCCCTCCTGAGCCTTCTCCGCCCCACCTCTCCCTCTTTCCCCTCCCTCTCTGCGACGCCTTCCCAAACCTCGCTGAGCCCCTGGCTCCTGCGGTGCTCTTGGCCCATTGTTCTCGCGTCTCCCCCAGCCCCAACCCAATCGAAAATCCCTTCCCGGCCCAGCTCAGACACCCCTCTTCTCTGAAGCTTCCCACCCTACCCTGGGCAGGACAAATCGCCCCTCCCCGCCCCCCTGCTTTGTTCCCCATCCCCGATGCCTGTCCATCGTGGCGTCTGCCATCCCGCCAGCCGAGAGCCTGAGAACAAACCGCGTCTGACCCATCTGCTGGCGCCAGGCACGGCGCAGGTGTTCCCAGCGATTTGCTGCCACCAGCTGCGAGGAATACTGCGGGCTTGGGAAAAGATTTAGGCCAGAGGAGTCAGGAAGGCGTTGGTGAGGGGAAAAAGCTGAAGGGTCGGATGCACCTAGCACTTCCGGAGCACCTCGAGGTGCCAGGTGCCTTCTCAGCCCCCGTCCTCATACCACAGAGCGCTAGGTCTCGTCAGTCCCGTTGGACGCGGAAGGAAACGGAGAGGTTAGGTGTTTGTTCCCGGCCACCCCGCCAGTGTTGGACCAGGATTGGAATCAGAGGCAGGGCTGAGGCGTGGGGGCTGTAGGCGGCTGGTGAGGGGGTGACAGGCATCTCCTCCGGGACAACGTGGGTGTGGGGCCTGAGGCTGGGTCCGTAGGGCCTCTGTGACCGGCCCATTCCCGACACTGGCCAGAGCCGCTGCCCTATCCCCCCACCACCCTCTCCTGGAAGGAGCCAGTTCTGACTCAGGCCCATTCCCGATCCGAGGCGATCTGGGAACGAGGTCGGAAAGAGGAAGGAAACATTCCTCAGACGCAGGCCTCCCCCTCGCCTGAGGTCCTGGCTCTAGGGCCGGAAAGAGCCACTTTCAGGCCCTCCCTGGGGATCCATGAGCGGAAAGAGAGAGGATCCGGTTCACGGGGAGTGTGGCTGAGGCGGCCACCTCTTCTCTTCTCGACCTCTGCCCCCGCCCCCGCTGGCTGTCAGGGGCCCTTACCCAGAAAGCCGACCCAGCCTGACCCGTCCTCCATGACCCTGCTCTGCCTGTGTCTCCCAGGACTCTGTCCACTGGAGTCCTGGGACAGGGTCCTGCCGCCCACAGACTGGCAGCCGCTGAGAGCAAGGCTCTCCAGCCATCCCCTCTTCCCCCCTGAGATTCCTGGGGACAGCGGTGCATCCCGCCCCTCTGACTGGGAGCTCCCAGCGCTGTCTCCCCTCTCTGAGGGGAGGTGGGGTCGCTTCTGACTGAGGGCTCCTGTGTGGAGGACTGCGACACCCCCAGCAGACCAGGGGCTGCCCAGGGGCACACCTCTGTGGCACCCTGAACCCCCTCTTTCTGTAGCCCAGCATCTGTCCTGATCCCCGGAAGGGAGCTGTGCAGGGGGCTCTGCCTGCCAGTCCCCCACACCCTGAAGCTGCCGTAGGACCAAAGGGATGGGGGTTGCTGCACAGTCAGACACCGCAGCCCCATCCTCCCCCCTTGGCAGGCCAGGTTTCCTGCCATTGACAGCATCCCAGCCGGGCCCTGCCCAGTCTCCCTGTGCTTAACCCCTTCGTGACCAGATCTCAGGGCTGAAGCCTGCGCCCCCAACCTTCATCTACAAAATTAGAATGAAAGTGTCCTGTCATTGGCTTGTTTTGAGGATTAAATATGTTAATCCTTATATGAAGTACTTAGAACAGCCCTAATATATAGTAATCTCTCAATAAAAGTGAGCTGTTATTTCTAATTGTGTGAGCTTGGATAAGTCCTTTCACATCTCTGAGCCTCAGTCTCTTGAGCTGTAAATGGGGAAAATAATAAAGCCTGCTCCCTAAAGGTTGTCCTGGGATTAATTGCAACAATGTAGCTGAGAGTATTTTGTAAAGGACTGCAACAACACAACATGGAACTATCACAGACAAAAAAAGAAAGAAAAAACACCCCCCCCAAAACAAACCCACCCTCCTTTTAACTTTGTAATAAAAATCCCTTCCCAGGAGATGGGCCCTGGGCTCTCTGCAGGGCAGTGTGGTGGGAGGAGTGGATGGGGAGTGGGGCCTTGGGCCTGTCTCTCTCCCTTTCTGCTCCTGTTTCCTTACTCATTGAGCATGGCTGGTCATCACTGCTCGGCCCCTGTCTAGGGCCCTTGAGGGGTCAAAGGAGATCAGAGAACACAGAGGGGAACATGCTTTACAAACATTAACAAGTGCTAGAAGGGTGGGGGACGGACTCAAGGACAGTGGCCAGCAAAGGGGACAGGTCTTTGAACTCCGGGTGCTGGAGAGTTTACCTGCTGGGGAGAGGGGGAGCTCTCCTGTGGGGTAGGGCTTCACCTCAGACATGAGGTGTCACAGAAGAGACTCTGGCAGCTCTAGGAGTCCCCAAGTGGGGGCAGAGGAGGAAGGGGCCCAAAAGACCTAGGCTTGGCCCCGGAATCAGCCCCTCACCACTCTCTTCCCAGCCTATCCCATTTGCCATCAGACGACCTTGGGCAGAGGCATCTCCAATGGGCTTCCGGGTGACCTTCATGCCAAGGCTTGCTGAGACAGACGCACCCACACATCTGCAGCACCCTAGGCCACAGACTCCTGGCCTTACCCCTAGGGATAGCAGGCTCGACACCACCCAACACCCAGACCAGGACACGTCTAAACCTGCCACAGAGAGAAAAAGCAAGACGACTGGAACCCTGCTCTGCCTTCCCGTTCAGACTGTCAGGGCACCTGCCAGGCCCAAAGAAGGGGCTGACCCCACAGGGGTAGCACCCCCACTCCAGACCTTTGGAGGAAGCCTGAGGATCAGGAGCCCTCCTTTGGGGTGCTGGCTCTGCCTTGGCCTCGGGGTGCCTCCTTGGCAAATCACTGAATCCAGTAGGGCCTGTTTGGCCATCTTAAAATAAAGGAGCTGGACCTGGCTCGTAGGTCCTCTCAGTGCTGACAGAGTGTGATCAGGAAGGAGTTAATGGAGGCCAGACTCTGGGTCAGGAAGGGTTAATCTGGGGGGTGGGGGATGGAGGCTGTCTCTGCTTTTCCTGTGGAGAGTGAGGTTTGGCTGCCACCAAAGTTACTTCTAGTCTCTGCTGTCCCTCCTGCCCTCAGTCTGGACCTGCCCAGGGACCCTGCAATTCAGCCTCCCCACACAGAAGTGAGTGCATCTTGAGCCCAGAGCTGGGGTGGGAGGGGACCCAGGGGCCCAAGGGCAGGGAGGCTGGTGCCAAGCCACTGAGCCTAGAAGACAGCCCACATCGGGAGAGCCGAAGCTTTGGGCAGTGTTGGGACCACTAACTTCAGGACTGGGAGAAGGTGGGCAGAGGGGTGGCGAGCCTGAGGACCGCTGCCAGGCTTCTAGGGTGGGACGTCTGCGGCTGGGCACCCAGGCCAGCCCAGAAGGCAGGGAGGAGACAGTGAACGGTAGACTATTTTGGTTCTTGTGTTTAGGGACTTTTTATAGTCTCCCTGCTCAGAGCTGGGGAGGAGGGGACAGAGGGCACTTATAAAGTCAAACACAGTGCCCTCCTGGGACCTTGGAACCTGACCCACTGCCCAGTATAGTCCCTTGGAGGCAGGGAGGGAACACTGCTAGGCTCTCCTTGCTGCCTGGGTTCCCAGGCCCCAACTGTCTATGGGCAGACTTACACTAGATGTACTTACGCTAGACCAGACTTACACTAGATGGTGGAGTCAGGGGTGGGCTGGGGTTGGGGGGGGTCTCTGCCCCAACGTCTCTCATGGCCCCCTCCCCACATCCCTGGCTAATTCTGTTCCTTTGTTGCCTCCGGATCCAAGGTCCCTTTGGCCCCCAGATCTTGGGAGGAAGAGGGAGATGGGGGCAGGGAGAAGGCACGTGGGTGGCCCCTTCTGTTACTGCCAAGGGAACTGTCAGCTCTTGATTTACAACCCCTCCTCTCCCCTTTCCCCAGCAGAAGGGAGGTGAAGGGTCAGAGGTCTCAGGATGAAAAAGGGGCAAGGACCCTGAGGGCAGATTTCTGGGAGTGCAGGTTACTGGGAAGGGTTAGTGGAAGGAACTTTTTAGTGAGGCAAGGGGCCCATTTCTAATTGCTTGGTTTTTATAGCTGTAGGAATAGAAGCAACATATCAGAGGGAAGTTCTGATAGGCAAGTGAGTGATCCAGTCTGAACTAGCTCTGGGCTGCAAGGCAAGAAACCTGGGTTCCAGTGTAGGCCCCTAACTCTCAGTGTGACTGCCCATGCCCCTCCTCTCTAGGCCAATTTCCTCCTCTATGAAATGGAAATGCAGAGGTTAGACAAGGTGATGTTTATAGTTTGGATTTGTGGAATCTCCTTGGTGAGGGCACAGAGTGCCTGGCAGTAGCTAGCTGACCTGGCCTGGGGACCACCTCCTTCTCCTTCCCAGATGGCCCTACTGGGCCTGGGCGGGGCAGTTGGCAATTACTGGAGTCTTCTACCCTGTGGTTATATCCCTGACCTCCGTGTTTGGGGGCGGGAAGGGTGGGCCCTGCTGGAGCCAGCCTGTGGCTGGGAGCCTCCTTGTCTTGGGCTCAAAGCTGCTGGGTTGGGAAGAGGTATTTTTTCCGGTTAAGGCCACTTTCGAGAATTGGGCTGGGACCAGCCCTATTTCCTTTTCCAAGTGTCCTGCTTACTGGTGCCTGCTTGCATGACCCTGTGGCCAGACTGGGGCACCCTCAAAGGGACATATATTTCAGTGTAGCCAAGGAGCACCCCCCTCATGTCTCTGAAGGATGGGAGAGGGGATGGCCTGAGCTTCTGCTCCCTGGACATGGCACCAGCTGATTTGGATGTGGTAGGGGTGGCTGACTGATCCCATACCCAGGCATGCCTGCAGAAGAGGGCCAGGGACATCTCCCATCTTCTCCCTGACCATTCCTCTCTCCCTGCAGGTCCCACAGAGTCTAGCCGATTGCACTTGGCTCCTTGGCTAGCTACATACCTCCGGCGGCTTATGGGGCACTGTCCTGCCCAGCTCTGCTAAGATGCTCCTGTCCTCTCCCTCCACCCCGTCCAGGGGACGGACCCCCAGCGCCGTGGAGAGGCTGGAGGCCGACAAAGCCAAGTATGTCAAGACGCACCAGGTGATAGCACGGCGACAGGAGCCAGCCCTGCGCGGGGGTCCCGGGCCACTCACCCCGCACCCCTGCAATGAGCTGGGGCCCTCTGCATCGCCCAGGACGCCCAGGCCCGCCCGCCGGGGCAGCGGCAGAAGGATACCAAGGCCTGACTCCCTCATTTTCTACCGCCAGAAGCGGGACTGCAAGGCTTCCGTGAACAAGGAGAACGCCAAGGGCCAGGGGCTGGTGCGGCGCCTCTTCTTGGGCGCCCCCCGGGATGCAGCCCCGAGCAGCCCGGGCCCAACAGAGAGACCCGCGGTTCCTGGGGGTTGGGCTGCGCCTCAAGATGACGCGGAAGCTGCGGGAAAGCGGGCGCTGTGCCCCACGTGCTCGCTGCCCCTGTCGGAGAAGGAGCGCTTCTTCAACTACTGCGGCCTGGAGCGCGCGCTGGTGGAGGTGCTGGGCGCCGAGCGCTTCTCTCCGCAGAGCTGGGGCGCCGACACCAGCCCGCAGACCGCAACTTCCCCGCCGCCGGGCTCTGGGGACGCCAGTGACTGGACATCCAGCGACGGGGGCGCGGGCGGCCCGGACTGCGCGGGCGGCGGCGGCGGCGGCGGCGGCTCGGAGGCAGCGGGCTCAGCGCGGGACGGGCGCCCGGCGGTGTCGGTGGTGGAGCGCAACGCGCGCGTCATCCAGTGGTTGTACGGCTGCCAGCGCGCCCGCGGCCCGCCGCGCGAGTCCGAGGTGTGACCGCGGCCACTCGGGAGCCGGCTCCCGGGAAGTCTGGAGCGCGGGGCTGGGCCGGGCACCGCAGCGCGCCTTTGCGCAAGCCCCTCCCTCTGGAACTCGGTTTCCCCTTCTGAACCTTGGGGAGATGGGACAAGGTGATCCCGAAGGCCCTTCCCAGCGCATGCAGCGGAGAGGGAGAGGGCCTCGTGGCCCCTGTGGAGGCCAGGGCTGGGGAGTGATGTCTGGGATGGGAGCTGAGCAAACCTGCTGAATAAAGTTGAACGTTATTTCAATGGGACGTGAGTTTGAATTAGGGAGCAGATGTTGAGGAAGGGGGTGAACGGGTTTCCGTGGGTTTTGGAGTGTGTGACCCTGGGCAAGCACTTAACCTCACTGGACGGAGCTGCACCCCTCGGTTATTAAAGGGAGAAGGGAGATAATGAAAGTCTTGTGAAGTAGTTGTGACGCGCGTGGCAAAGTGCTCTGTATATAGGAAGTGCTCAGTAAACGTAGTCGTTTTGACTACAACCGAATCAGCACTAATACCATTGCGATCACGTCCTCCACCGACTCCCAGATAGACCCAAACTAGCTGGGAGCTGGGAATAGCGCGTTTGACAAGTCCTAGAAGGAGTCTCCTCCAAAAATCTGGGGTCCACCGACCCTCGAAAGTCCCCCATTTTCGGAGCCTTGTTGCCCCCTTGTGGTCACTCGGTATGAAGGGCTGAGATGGGTAGGATCCGACACTGAGGATATTAAAAAAGACGACCTTTTTTTGTTTGAGACAGAGTCTCGCTTTGTTGCCCGGGCTAGAGTGAGTGCCGTGGCGTCAGCGTAGCTCACAGCAACCTCAAACTCTTGGGCTCAAGTGATCCTCCTGCCTCAGCCTCCCAAGTATCTGGGATGACAGGCTCGAGCCTCCACGCCCGGCTAATTTTTTGTTTCTATTTTTAGTTGACTGGTTAATTTTTTTTCTATCTTTAGTAGAGATGGGGGTCTCGCTCTTGCTCAGGCTGGTCTCGAACTCCTGACCTCAAGCGATCCTCCCACCTCGGCCTCCCAGAGTGCTAAGATTACAGGCGTGAGCCACCACGCCCAGCCGGCCGGGAGGACCCTTTGACCAGAATTTTGCCAGCCCCCAGCTTCACATCCTGCCACTGCCTCCCTTTCCCTCAAAGACACACAGGTCACCTGTTTCCCTCACATGTTCCCACCTCTAAGGCTTTGTTCACGCACCTCCTCCCTTTCCTGGGTTACCTTTCCCTTTCTTTCCACGCATCCCTCTAAGATGACATGTATTCTTTGAGAAGTCTTTCTGAATTGCCCAGTCGGCCTCATCTCCTCTGAGCTCCCACGTGTGGCCCTAATTTTGTGCCTCAATTTGTCACCTTGCATGGGTCTCTCTAGTAGTTTAAAAGTTCCCTCGTTAGTCTCTTTGCCTAGTACAGGGACCACGCACATAGCAGGGCCACAGGCAACGTTTGTTGGATTAAATGAGGCTGCACAGGGCAATGGAACCAGTCCTCCGTGGCTGCCCAGCTGCCTGGAAAGTGGTACCTTAAATCTAACACAGTCCTTCCTGATACCTGGGCTGTTTCTGGTCATTTCCTTCCCCCGCCCCCAGTATGTTTGTGGGCGAAGGAAGTGAGGACCCCTCCAGCCGGACCCTGCCTGAGATCTCCCACCCAAAAGCAGCCTTTCCTGATGTCCGGACAAAAGCACGCGGTGGCACGGCATGTCGGGCCAGGGGTTTTTATGAGGGGTAGGGAGGAGCGGGCGTCCAGTTCGGCCTGCCGGCTAGTCGCCCTTGGGCGCTGCCTTCACCCTCATCTCGGCCAGTTTGTGGGTGAGGAAGCCCCACTTGAAGCCGGCCGCCGGGTCAGCCTCCCGCGGCTCGGGGCGCTCAGCGGCTTCCTCCGCGGCCTCGTCGCCGGGCTCGGGGTCCCGCTCGGTAGCGGGTTCGGCGCCGCGCAGCATGGACGCCGCCGCCGCCTGCTGCTGCTGCCACCTGCTGGCGAACGCGTCCCAGAATCCCTGCCCGCGAGGCTCCGCCGCGGCCGCCTGCGAGGAGGGCAGCGCCGCCAGCGGGCTGCGGGAGAGGGGCGGGGTCAGGGGATGGGGTCGGGGGCGGGCCCGAGCAGCCCCGAGAGGAACCAAGGGGAGGGGGCGCCGCCGAGGGCCGAGTAAGGGTCCAGGGGAGCCGGGTGAGGCCGGGGGCTGCGGTGCGGAACCGGGTCAAGTGACTAGGGCTGGGGAGCGAGGCGGCGGGTCAGGGCCTGGAGGCAAGGGGAGGGCTTAGAGGCGCGGGGAAGTGGGGCTGGGGAGGGACAGGGTCAGGGGATTAGGGTAGGGGGGCGAGGCCGGTGGAGAGAAGCTGGAGGCGGCGGGTCTGGGAAGCTGGGGGAGGAGCCCTGAGAGAGGGGCGGGGCCCACGGATGCCTGGGAGAGCGGGGCTGGGGTTGGGGGGACTTAGATCCCAAGGGAGGGAGGTCTTCAGGAAGAGGCGGGGCAGGGGCCTGGGATTGAGAGGAAGGGGCAAAGCCCACATCAGAGCTTAGGGGCGAGGGAAACTGGGACAGTGGATGGCGGTGGGTGGGAGATGCGAGGGGAAGGGCAGTGAAGCAGGGGAGATGAGGCTTACAGTGGGAGCCTCAAATCTGAGGAGAGTCCTTAGGGAACTGGGAGGGAGAAGGGATGCATGTAGGGAGGAGGAAAGGAAACCTGGGGCAGGAGAGATGGAAGGGGGGTCCTAGGAGAAAGGAATAGGTTGGGGGGGAGTGTGACTGGCTGGAGGAAAGGGGAGAGAAGGAATGTGAACTAGGAGGGAGGCTGAGGTCCTGGGTCTGACCCCCTAATCTTTACCATCAAAGAGCTTCTAACATAGTGGTTCTCAAACTAGTGTGCCTCGGGGTTCTCAGGGAACTTGTGAAAATAGAGATAGAGCCCAGGCCTCGGCCCACACCAGCTGAATCGGAATCTCTGAAGGAAGGTCCAGGGATTTGTGCTTGTCACAAGCTCCCTTGGAGGATGAGGGGTTAGACAATATTTGGGAACCACCGATCTGGATCCCCTTTTGTTGCAAACACCTAAAGGTGTTCTCCTCTGTTCCCTGGTTCTAGGGAGACGGCCCCTCCCAAGCGGGTGGGGAGAGAGAGCCCATAAATACCTCCCAGCACCTCAATCCCAACAGCTGGTAGATTCCTCCCAGGATCTAACCTAATCTCCCAGATAGGCTGATTTGGCCTCTTTCCTGCTGACAGGAAACAGAAACAGCATGGGGCTGTTCCTTCCCAGCCCTCTGTGGTCAGAAAGACAAGACAAACAGACCAGAAGGAAAGGACATGGCAGAAGAACCACCCCAAACACACACACACACATACTGGTCAGCACAGGGCTCCGGTGGCAGCAGCTTGTCCTCATCTTCTTTGTTAAACAGAGATGACATTGTCAGCCAGCCTTTCACCCCGACCCCCTGAACCTGGGAGGGGGGCTGGGAGTCAGGGAAGCGTCCCCGCACAACCTCCTGGGACTCCATAGCAGCCTCTGCCAGGATCCCCAGGGTTGAGGTGGAAGAAGAGAGAACTCACCCGGCGGGCCAGCTGTGACATGGCATTGGAGGCCTCCTCGGTTGGTTCTGTCTTCTCAGACTCCACTAACGCTGGGTTCTCCCTCTGGGACACAAGACCCCCACCCAGTGTGAGAGAGGCCCCAGAGGAGTGGGACCTCCTTCCCCCACTGCTAGCCCAGTACACACAGACCAGGCACCCCAAACCCTGCAGAACTAAACACACACCTATACACCTCACACCTCCACAAAACACATGTGAATGCGTACAGGTATATACCTCTACGCAAAGCTACCAGTCACATACACACACCTGTATAGTAAATCCCTGCAGACACCCTTGAGTGCACTTACCTGCCCACCCACAGACACATCCATACACACCCAGAAACACATGGACAGGGACATACATGCTGATGTAGACACACACCTGTACATGAGCATGCCTCCACATGGCTACAGCTTTTCACCTGTACATAAATATATGTGCTGTGAGGCATCTATACAAGGACACTCACACAGTTATACCATTCTCACCCATGCACTTATACAACTGCAGACACCTGCACAGAGGCCCATCCACGGCACACAAACCCTCTCTACCCATCCACAGACACCCAAACACATATACCATACTAACATAACACCTGCAAATGCCTACATAGAGGCACGCAGGCATAGACTCCTGCCCAAAATGTTCACACCTGCACATATACCTTCACTGGGGATTCCACACAGATGCCCATCCCAGCACTCACCCACAGACACTTCTACACAAGCCTAGCCTTGGACACCAACCTGTCTAGATATATATTTATTCATACATACACCTGTGATTATGTGCCCCTGCCACATCTGTTTGTATAACTGCCACTTATCACAGTCTCTAGACATAAGACCATTCCCAGTTTTTAGAGACAGGGTCTCACTCTGTCCCCCAGGCTGGAATACAGTGGTATGATCATAGATCACTGCAGCCTTGAACTCCAAGGCTCAAGTGATCCTCTTGCTTCAGCCTCCAAATCTTTGGGACTACAGGTGTGCATCACCATGCCTGGCTAATCAAAAAAGAATTTTTTTGTAGAGATCGGGTCTTGCTATGTTGCCCAGCCTGGTCTCAAACTCTTGGCCTCAAGTGATCCTCCCACCTCAGCCTCCTGAGTTGCTAGGATTACAGGTGTGAGCCACCATGCTGGCTTTTTTGGTTTTCTTAATGTCAAAACAAAGCATACTCTGTCTCTTTCTCAGACCCCATCTCATACCCCACTTTGTACCTGTCACTCCTGCTGTCCCTCTGCCCATCCCCCATCCAGCACTCACAGATCGTACCCACCTCCTCTGTCAGGTCCTCCTCAGATTCCCCACTCAAGGTCTGTAGCACTTTGGACTTATAGGTTTTCCAGAAGGCCTGGTTCATGGCTGCTGGGGCGAGGGGCCTGGCACCAAGGCACAGGAAAGTGGTGGCTCAGTGGGCACCAGTGGGTCTGGCTCTAGGAACTTGGTGAGGCCAAGAGCCTGTTCCAGGGATCAGGTGACTTCATTAAAAATGCATGAACTAAACACACACCTATACACCTATACACCCTAGCTCCCTAGCTGGCACAGCGCCTAGCAGGTGAACCCGATCCAAAGGAGTCTGGGGTGGGGGCAGATAGAGCAGGCTTTCACCACTTCAGCCCCTTGTCTTGACCCATATTCGTCAAGAATAATGAAGGCATCTGTCTAAGAGAGGCCTCCTTCCTGGGCTTAGGAGTACTTGAGGTTGCTGATCCCTTAGAATGGCTTCAGAAAAATCCTCTTCTGTTCACAAAATCCTTAGGTCTAGGACCCACACTGGGGACCCTGTGACTAGCCAAAGCAGCTATGCCCCACCCTGTGTCCACTCAGCCTCCGTGAACTGGAGTGGGAAGGTCCTCAGGGCCCCAGTCGGCACCCTGGGCTTACATTTCACTGCTTTGTCTGGGCTGGAAACTGATGCCTCTCCCCAGGGATGCACGTGCCTGTCTCCCTATTTCCTGGCAACAGATTCCAAAAAGCTGGAGCCCCTGAATTATTGCTGAGCTCCTCTGGTCCCTTCCAGTGGAGTTGGCTCTGGCCAGCCTGGGAGGCACCAGGCTCCCATGAATGGGAAAAAACCCGCTGGCCCTCTCCCCATTCTGAGCGCACAACACCTAGGCTGTCTCTCTGCCTTTGCTGCCAGCCCACTCCTGGGATTCCAGGGCTCCGAGAAAGGAGGCAAAGACGGAGAGGTCCTTCTATGAGCACCTCCTCCTCTTGTGAGAGGAGCGGACCCGTCCTAATTCTGACAGGACGTCTGAGTACCGTGATCTCTGGGAGGAACACTCCTGCCACACGGATTTGCCTGGGGGCTGGATGGAGGATGGAGACCAAGGGAATAACTGGGGAGCCGGGAAAAGTGGTGAGGACTTTGTCAGGAACTGGAGATACCTCGGGAAGCCCTGCTGCGGCTGGGATTCCAGACTCATTCACTCTCAGTCATTTATTCATTTATTCACGTCACGGACATTTATCAGTGCCTTCCAGAGATGTTTAAAGCGTCCCACCCCCACCGCGGAGTCTAAGGTCTGGGAACTAGGAAGGGATGACGGGGCCAGAGGATGGCGTGAAGATACGTCGGGCCAGGCCGGAGTGGGCAGGGCAGCGGTTCAGTCGCGAAGCCCCCAGGTGCCCCACCCCGCCGCTCCCCAGCCAAGGTCCGCAGGACTGCGCCTTCCCGTGGGCAAACTTCGCCAGGCCGCGCCCTGAGCTCCCACACTGACGGCCGCGGGCGCCTGAGGGCGTTCAAGCCGCTGGCCGCGCGAGTGACGTCATCAGAGGCGGTCGGGTCGAGTCTGCCGCGCCCCCTGGCGTCGCGTGACGTCGTTGAGCGGTCCGGAAGTTCCCGCACGTGTGCTCCCTGTTCTGCTCCTGGCCCCTTGGCCTGGCTGTCACCGGCAATGGGTCGCTCTCGCCGGACAGGCGCGCACCGAGCGCACTCCCTAGCCCGCCAGATGAAGGCGAAGCGGCGGCGGCCGGACCTGGATGAGATTCACCGCGAGCTGCGGTCGCAGAGTCCCGCACGGCCCCTGCCGGACCGGGACGCCGAGCCCGACCCGGACCTGCCAGGGGGAGGCCTGCATCGCTGCCTGGCCTGCGCGTGAGTCTGGGCCGGGCCTGGCTTGGAGGAGGGTCTGCGATATGGGCTGGGAGATGTGACGTCCGAGCCCCGGTGACCTTTTGGGATCCCTGGGTCTGCCCGCCGCCCATTCCTTGAGCCCAGGATCCTGGCGTCAGGGAACGAGCCTAGAGTCAGGGAGATAGGCATACCTAAGACACATCACCTCCTCACTCTCTTCCTCACCCTCATCCCTACAGGAGATACTTCATCGATTCTGCCAACCTGAAGACCCACTTCCGATCGAAAGACCACAAGAAAAGGTATGAAGGAGTAAGGAAGATGGATGGATGTGTGCTCCGCAGGTCTCGCACCTGGTCAGCTCCCAACTCCTACTCTTCTTTTCCCCAGGCTGAAGCAGTTGAGTGTCGAGCCCTACAGTCAGGAAGAGGCCGAGAGGGCAGCGGGTATGGGTTCCTATGTTCCACCCAAGCGGCTTGCAGTGCCCACAGAAGTGTCCACTGAGATCCCTGAGATGGATACGTCTTCCTGACATGGTCTGGGGATGCAAGGTAGTGGAGCTGCCCATGGACAGTGATGTACGGACTAGGCTGGGAGAGAGTGCGCCAGCTTCTTTTGGCCCTGGGTTTGGGGAGTGGATGGCCTCTTCTGGGTGCCCTGCCCCCAATAAAGAAACTGGACAAAGAGGGCTTGCCTCTGACTGTCTAACTTCCAGGTCACTGCGCCAAACTCCTGCCTGTAAGGGTTTCTCTATGACTTCATATGTATAGGCCCCTGGGTGTCTGTTCCCCGCTTGGTCCGGCTTTGGAACCTGCATCCCTGCCTTCCCTCTGGGATCCTAGTATCTGATTCGGAGCCCCCAGGCGAAACCCAGGTGCAGCGTGGAGTGGGGGAGTAGGGCTGAGTTTATTCTATCCTACTTCCAATGAGGGCACAGACTGATCCCCAGAAAAGAAGTGGGCTCTTGAGTGAGATTGTAGCCCCCTCCCCGAGTCACTTACCCGCAGGGCCCAGGTGAAAGGCTCCCTGATGCGTCATGGGGCCTGTGGTGGCCGCCTCCGCTGCCCCACCATTTTCCAGACAGCATAGCAGGAGCCGCCCAGCCCGAGGACAGCCAGCAGTGTAGCCACAACCCCAGCCAGCGGACTCCGGGGCTCTGCCTTGAGCTCCCCGGCTACCTGCATCTGGGGGTGCACGGGGGTGTGCCTGAGGGGTTATTGAGACTTCCAGGAAGGTGGGGAGTGGGAAGGGGCTGAGAAGCTGCAGCTAGGTGAAGGAGACACAGACACCATTGCTGCCCCAGGGAGATTCCACCCCAATCCTCTCGCTTCACTGCCCATCTGGGCCCTGGCTGCTCAGGCGGCAGGGAACGTGACAGCCTAGCTGTTGGGGGTGTCAGACCAGGCATGGTAGGGGGAGAAAGGGGTCAGTGGTGCCAGAAGCCATCCGTCAGGGGTACTTACCTGGAGCACCCGGAAATAGCCGGGGGTCAAACGTCGAAATCGCATGGTGGGGGGCACTGGTCTCCCTGGCGGCCTGTGGAGTGGGAGTGGACATGAAGACCATTGGTGTTCGTGGTACCAAGAAGTGGAAATCAGGGTATAGGGGTCCCTGACTTCCTGTATGCAGGAGACCCATTCCCTCAGAGGATGCTCACCGGTGCCTGCCTGCCCAGGTCTGGCAGGGGGCGGGGCAGCTGGACCTTTAAATCTGGTCCCTTCCCCCACTGCCTGCCATCCTGCCAGCCCTAGAAGCAGCTGTCAAGAGGGATCAGCATCAGGCCCGAGCAGCACCTCCCCCACCCGCCAGGGAGACCAGGCTGGGTAGGCAGAAGAGGCCTTGGCTGGCAGCGCTCAGGATTCCCCTGCCTGGACCAGGTACTGGGTGGGACTCCCTCGACCCTGGTCTAGGCCCTGTCCCTACCTCAGATGATTGGGTGCCACCAGTCAGCATTCAGCAAAGGAGGGGGAGGGTGCCGTGTTGGCCTTACTCTCAACAGTATGCCTTTTTTACTTGGTTTCTGTGAGATCAACCTCCCGTACATTGAGGGAGAGCTCATTTCATGTCTTTCCCGAAGACAGAGTTCCTGTAGGGACTTCTCTACTCTCAGCTTGGGGACAATAATAAAAGGAGATCTGCATATACCAATTAACACATTGACTGCCACACTAGAAAAAAAATTTTTTTCCCTGAGGCCATGGTGTTTTGTTTAAATAAAATTTGTATTATGAATGGGGCTGTGGTGTTTTGTTAGGAAAATAGAATAAAAACTTTGAAGGCTGAGTGTGGTAGCTTACCCCTGTAATCCTAGCACTTTGAGAGGTGAGGCAGGAGGATCACTTGAGGCCTAGGAGTTCAAGACCAGCCTGGGCAATAGACCTCCTCTCTAAAAAAAAAAAAAAAACTTTGAA